CATTTGTTTTTTTATCAAAAGTACTCTAACCGCCCTATTTCGACATTATATCAGCCCCCACAAACAAAACGAGAAATCGCGTCTCTCTTTGTGGATTTTTCAATCGTAAGGGGGCATCGAATTTTGTGGTTCCCTTAACTCATGAATAACCCCGTGACAAACCATATGTAATCCTGTCGTTTAAGGGGGCACCCTGAATAGATTGATAGGTGATGTTTTATATGCAAACGTCTGCGGCCACGCTTCGTTAACTTGTCTCAAAAGGAAATCGAAACGGATTTGCTTAATTTGCCGCTGATCTTCGGAATATTCAAAACAGCGAATTTAATTCGGCGTGGCTTTAAGCCCTGTACTAAGTACAAGTGTAGACTTTCTTAAAAGGTTGCTTTGAATCCGGAGGAAGCGATGTATTGTAAATATTTAATGATTCATCTTGTGTAGGACATTTATTTTCATTATTGTTATAGTGGCATATAAAGATTATTCATCACTCGAAAATACTAACAGAAAATTTCTCTAGTATAATATATTTTATCAAAAAAGCAATTTTTTCCCGATAATTTAAAAAAAAACTCAATAATCAATTATTTAAAATTCTTAATTATCTGCTATACCTAGGAATTTTTGTTGCTTATAATTTTCTAAAAATGATGAAAAATAATCCACGAAGCGCTGTATTCAGAATAATCATCCATGAATGTCGAGTTCAGAGATGATTAATCTGTGTCTTTGTTATATTTCGTGATTTGTAGGATCCCTCGGCTTTTGAATATCTGTTATCGAGTAAGCAAGAGGATTAATTTACATCTGTGCGAAATCACGTAATCATCGGTGCGTTCAGAGGATGAACGCGAATTAACGCGTTTTGTTGGGTAAGGTGCGTGGGATCGGGCATCGAGAGGAATTAGGAATTAACCTCGACGAATAATTGTTTGTAGACAATTGTAATAAAGATTAAATATATAGTTATATACAATTTAAGATTGGAAATATATTTTGGAAATGCAGACTACAATCAGTGCAATAATAACTTCATGAAAATAATAGTACAAGTGCATACCAAGTTTCAATGAATGAGTTATAATGTGTACGAGTATGTAGTAAATACGTACAACTGTATAGTAAGTGTGTACGTGAGTGCAGAATAATGAATGAGTAAGTAGTAAATGTGTATGAGTAAGTAGTAAATGTGAATGAGTAAGTAGTAACAATGTATGAGTAAGTAGTAAATGTGTACGAGTATGTAGTAAATACGTACGACTTATAGTAATGTTGTAAGTGAGTGCAGAAGAGTGAATGAGTTAGTAGTAAATGTGTATGAGTATGTAGTAAATACGTACGACTGTATAGTAAGTGTGTACGTGAGTGCAGATTAGTGAAATGAGTAAAGTAGTAAATGTGTATGAGTATGTAGTAAATACGTACGACTGTATAGTAAGTGTGTACGTGAGTGCAGAAGATGAATGAGTAAGTAGTAAATGTGTATGAGTAAGTAGTAAATGTGAATGAGTAAGTAGTAAACATGTATGAGTAAGTAGTAAATGTGTACGAGTATGTAGTAAATACGTACGACTTATAGTAAATGTGTAAGTAGAGTGCAGAAGAGTGAATGAGTAAGTAGTAAATGTGTATGAGTAAGTAGTAAATGTGTACGAGTATGTAGTAAATACGTACAACTGTATAGTAAATGTGTAAGTGAGTGCAGAAGAATGAATGAGTAAGTAGTAAATGTGTATGAGTAAGTAGTAAATGTGAATGAGTAAGTAGTAAACATGTATGAGTAAGTAGTAAATGTGTACGAGTATGTAGTAAATACGTACGACTTCATAGTAAATGTGTAAGTGAGTGCAGAAGAGTGAATGAGTAAGTAGTAAATGTGTATGAGTAAGTAGTAAATGTGAATGTATAGTAAGTGTGTACGTGAGTGTTAATGAATGAGTAGTTAATGTGTACGAGTATGTAGTAATACGTACGACTATATAGTAAGTGTGTACGTGAGTGCAGATTAGTGAATGAGTAAGTAGTAAATGTGTATGAGTAAGTAAGTAAATGTGAATGAGTAAGTAGTAAACATGTATGAGTAAGTAGTAAATGTGTACGAGATGTAGTAAATACGTACGACTTCATAGTAAATGTGTAAGTAAGTGCAGAAGAGTGAATGAGTTAGTAGTAATGTGTATGAGTAAGTAGTAAATGTGTACGAGTATGTAGTAAATACGTACAACTGTATAGTAAATGTGTACGTGAGTGCAGAATAGTGAATGAGTAAGTAGTAAATGTGTATGAGTAAGTAGTAAATGTGAATGAGTAAGTAGTAAACATGTATGAGTAAGTAGTAAATGTGTACGAGTATGTAGTAAATACGTACGACTTCATAGTAAATGTGTAAGTGAGTGCAGAAGAGTGAATGAGTTAGTAGTAAATGTGTATGAGTATGTAGTAAATACGTACGACTGTATAGTAAGTGTGTACGTGAGTGCAGATTAATGAATGAGTAAGTAGTAAATGTGTGAGTATGTAGTAGATACGACTATATAGTAAGTGTGTACGTGAGTGCAGAATAATGAATGAGTAAGTAGTAAATGTGTATGAGTAAGTAGTAAATGTGAATGAGTAAGTAGTAAACATTATGAGTAAGTAGTAAATGTGTACGAGTATGTAGTAAATACGTACGACTTCATAGTAAATGTGTAAGTAAGTGCAGAAGAGTGAATGAGTTAGTAGTAAATGTGTATGAGTAAGTAGTAAATGTGTACGAGTATGTAGTAAATACGTACAACTGTATAGTAAGTGTGTACGTGAGTGCAGAATAATGAATGAGTAAGTAGTAAATGTGTATGAGTAAGTAGTAAATGTGAATGAGTAAGTAGTAAACATGTATGAGTAAGTAGTAAATGTGTACGAGTATGTAGTAAATACGTACGACTTCATAGTAAATGTGTAAGTGAGTGCAGAAGAGTGAATGAGTTAGTAGTAAATGTGTATGAGTATGTAGTAGATACGTACGACTGTATAGTAAGTGTGTACGTGAGTGCAGATTAATGAATGAGTAAGTAGTAAATGTGTATGAGTATGTAGTAGATACGTACGACTATATAGTAAGTGTGTACGTGAGTGCAGAATAATGAATGAGTAAGTAGTAAATGTGTATGAGTAAGTAGTAAATGTGAATGAGTAAGTAGTAAACATGTATGAGTAAGTAGTAAATGTGTACGAGTATGTAGTAAATACGTACGACTTCATAGTAAATGTGTAAGTGAGTGCAGAAGAGTGAATGAGTTAGTAGTAAATGTGTATGAGTAAGTAGTAAATGTGTACGAGCATGTAGTAAATACGTACAACTGTATAGTAAGTGTGTACGTGAGTGCAGAATAATGAATGAGTAAGTAGTAAATGTGTATGAGTAAGTAGTAAATGTGAATGAGTAAGTAGTAAACATGTATGAGTAAGTAGTAAATGTGTACGAGTATGTAGTAAATACGGACGACTGTATAGTAAATGTGTAAGTGAGTGCAGAAGAGTGAATGAGTAAGTAGTAAATGTGTATGAGTATGTAGTAAATACGTAAGACTGTATAGTAAATGTGTACGTGAGTGCAGAAGAGTGAATGAGTAAGTAGTAAATGTGTATGAGTAAGTAGTAAATGTGAATGAGTAAGTAGTAAACATGTATGAATAAGTAGTAAATGTGTACGAGTATGTAGTAAATACATAAATGTATATAGTAAGTGTGTAGTAGTAGAAGTATATAGTAACGTTTGACTAAATAAGTAGTAAGTATGTCGATGTATATATGAATGAGTATAAGTGTGTAAGTATGAATAGTAAGTGTTTATCAGTTTGTAGAAGTAGTAGTGAATGTTTATTAGTGTGTAGAAGTAGTAGTAAGTGTTTACCAGTGTATCGAATTGTGTACGAGTGTGCAAAAGTGTGTAAAATAATTACAATAACTGTCAATACAATTTTAAAACTGTATTCTATTTTCTTTTACTTTGCAACTCCCTGAGAAAGTTTTCTAGAGCTTGGAAAATATATTAAAATATATAAATAAAAACAATATTTCAAACTATTAATTTAGGATAATCAATAACTATTAAGTCGAGTCATTTCTTTATTATTAATTCAAGCCAATCAGTTCCATATGAATGTTTTACTTTTTCCAAAATCTTGAATAAGATAAAAGTCGATCGCAACTTTACAATTTCTAACACATTTTTTGCTATATTGACTGAGTGCATCTACTTGTGCCGAGTAAATAAAATTAATTCAAATTAGAATTAAAACAACGCAATGATTTATTTTCATTGCAACCATTTAATCCTCTGGAGCATTACAATCACTCAGCTTTACTTAATCAAAATAAAATTAGATTAAAAGTTCTTTGTGAATTCAAGTTTATCTTGTAAACAGATAGAATTAGAATTCGAAGAAATACAACTAAAATAATAAATAGAACTTAAAGCATTTCATTATACACCAGAAGGCGGTAAATGTTTATAAAATTGAATTTTTTTGGTTCCTTATTTTAATTTATGTCTAATCATGTTGCAATCATTTGATCATACTTTTTATATAAATTAACACTTAAAAATGACCTAACACCACTTAATTTTCTCATGCGTGTTCCGTTGTTATAAATCCACGGTCGCGATCGCAATAATAAGTTGCATACCGAAATTCTTTCCAACCGATTTCACTGTCAATTATTCCGCATGTTGCTCAACTCTAAGAAAATTATAACTCCAAATGATCAAAATTATTATTTATGCAAATTAAATATATAATATCCAACGATACGTGGAAAAAATGTAGTGGATTCGTGTTTTCATAGGAAAAATGAAGGGGAATCGATTGAACTATAGGTATGCGATGTTTGGCAATAATTATGTTCTGAAGCATATCGATATTCGAATATAAAACACGATGCACGGGTGCTACAATCATCAGTTCGACACTATTCCTTCTTAGTAATACAAAATTAACTAATAGAGAAGAATCAATATGGTTTCATACTTAGTGAGTGAAAAATAAAATAATATTTATTTTTGGAGCATTCACGATTAATTAAAAAATTTACTTGTTTTTATTACTTTTTTTTATTTAATTCCTTTATCTAGGCAACATTTGGGCTCATAGTTGCAGCTGCGAGTTTAGCCAACTGCGGTTATATTGGTGGCTTTGGAGGCGGTGAATCCGGTGGATACGGCGGTGGTTCTTCCGGAGGATTTGGAGGCGGTTCCTCCGGAGGATCTGAAGGTGGACACGGCCATGCTTACTCTACGATAATGCTCCACCAACACGCTCAAAGCGGCGGCGGTGGCGGACACGAAGAACACTACCCTCATGTAATAGAATGAAATAAAATATTTTTGCCCGTATACAATTTTTAACCAAATTGAACAAATAGAAGAAACTATGGCTTAGATATATGGATGCTTCAAAATGTAATTGTTTTCAAATGTGTTTTTATTTTAAACAGCATTTCCCTGAATACAAATACGACTACGCAGTGAAAGATTTCCACACCGGAGACCACAAAAACGCCTGGGAACATCGTCACGGAGACAAAGTCTACGGTAACACAACTTTTTGAACGTTGTTAATTATTATAAATTGTTTATTACTGTCATTTCTACTTCCCAGGAGGTTATATGCTAAAAGAAGCCGATGGCACAATCCGAGTCGTCGAATACGAGTCCGACAAGCACAACGGCTTCAACGCGATCGTAAAACACTTAGGAAAGGCCGAACACCCACAAATCTACGGAAAATACGGTGGCGGTGGTGAAGGAGGTTCCCAAGGCGGACATTATTAAAAAAAAACACACATTACTTATCATTCCTATCAGGCGATAACGACGGATAATGGCTCGAACTGATCTCTGATTATTATTTCTATTTTTATTTTTATTCTTGTTGTTATGACCGTATGTGAATGTACTACACGACTAGGAAGTTAAAGTTAAATGTAAGACTGTGTTATATAAAGCGAGTAATTGTTATGTATATATTATTTGTTTAAATAAATGAAAACGGTGATTTTGGAAAACATTTGTATCATTTAATTCTTATATTACTTTACAGAATTTATTTGTATATATAAATAATAAATAAAAATTCATTATGTTTAATAAGTTTCGCTTCATTTAAACGTCTAAAGGGCCAGCTAAAAGGATAATGATTATGAAGTAAATAAATAATAATAAGACGTTCTATCATTTACCCGTAATCAACTTTTGCAATGAAAATAATCGCCACTAAACGTCCCCTCGAATTTTTCTAACGATCATCTTTCCATTTTTCCGTCGTCATATCTCGAAATCCGGAATCTCCTAATAATATCACTCTTACCAGGTCCTGGTACTAACGAAAGCAACGCCGCGACAATCGCGCGGCTTAATCATGCCGAAATGGCGATTACTGTAATTGAATTTTGCCGCAGATTTCGGATTATCTACATAATCATAAATCACTTCGATTTGATGAGCATCAGGAGCGGATTAAGGGTAATAATAGAAAATTCAATAATAGATAATTGTCGGAATAATACCTATACTTGAGGTAAACTAATCGATTATAATAGTATGATCTAATTTAATTTACTGTAAAAATCTGTCTAATTTTGTGACATTAATTGTTAATTTATTAACATGGATGAAAATCAATAGGTGTAATTATTGAAAGAAAACCATTGTATCTTTATTTATTCATATACATGCTACGAAAAGCTTTTTATTCTAAGTATAAAAATATGCTAAAACGATTTAACAAGGTGAAAGTGAACGCAAACACAAATACGTTCTTGGGACATACACAGTTATGATTCCAAGTTCTTCAGAGAACAATTTTTTATTTAATTCAAACTTTATTGAATTTTTATAATTAAACAATAAATATATTTTTGAGTGCTAATTTAGACCACATAGTCTATTACTATGCAAAGTTTCAAGTTTGAGCTCTTTCACACATACTTTTTCCAATAATCGAATGGTTCAGAATGTCTTAAAACGTCGAAAAATGTTCTGGCAATAGTAAACTCGTTTATAACAATATTTTGTATAACAATTTGTTTTAAATTTGCTTTATTATTTTAATAAATATGAAAAGACTGTCTACTCTTATTTCCTTTATCCTTTCCTCCGGCTCTGGTGAAACCGGAAAAAAAGCTTCGAAAATCTCGAGCAAATTTAGGTTCTTATTTCTGCGTCATTTAAAAAGAAGGGTATGATATTTTTTAATTAAACCGACACGCGGTCGAGTAATCTTTTAATACATCTAGAGATTGAACTCTAGAAGTGATATATTCTGATGATCGGCAGCTCGGAATGGGATTTCTACAAATATCAGAACTCCGATTTAATAAAGAATTATCATAAGGTCATATTTTTTTACGTTTTCAGACGATAAACCGTCGAAGGAGGATGAAAATTCTGGCAAAGGAAATAATGGTAATGGACTTATTTTTATTGACAGTTTATCAAAACTGTAATATGATAGAGAATTATAACATCTAAGTGTTAGTTTCAGGTTAATATTTATATTTCATTTTTTTCAAATGTATCAAGTATTTTATCATTTTGCTTTTGATGATACTTGCCAACACACTTTAGTACATTTTTGAAGAGAGCCGGTTGAACTGGATAAATTGTTTGGGTCAAACGTTTATAACATCAATGATTTATAATCCTTGAAATTATTATGTACTTTTATCCAAACTGACTCCGTCAAGTGCAATACTGTTCGCAAAACCCCTCACGTACAATTTTGATAAAAGAATCACGTTTTCGCTAATAAGAAAATTAACCGCATCTTATAAGTTTCAGGCCATTTCGCCGGCGTCCGCCCGTCCGGGCTGATCTCGTCGAGGCGGCGGCCGAGAGTCGGCGTCTTAGTGCGGCCAATCCCGCCCGTTCGCCTTAGAGCCTTAGAGCGACCGCTAATGATAAAATACGATGCAATTATAATTAATAGCGGGAGCGGTAATAGGAAAAGGACGATAGGACGAATCGGATTTTCAGACTAGAATAATATCTGAGACTGAGACTATGTCTGAGAGAAAGGCTAATGTAAATGATTGATATGTAGTTAAATTATTTCTAAATTTTCATTCTTTTAGATTTAAAAAAAACTAGGGTTGATATATATTTAGTAAATGATTTGAATATGAGCGTGAGATTGAATAAAAATAAATTATAAAAGGTTAATAATTTTTACATATTTTTTTCTCTGATCTTCTTTAACTTTATTGTATTAGTGTAATAAAAAGTTTATTAAATCTACCCAATTTAGAAATACATTCAGCAATATATGTCGAATCCTCATCATGATCTCCAAAGTCTGATCCCGCGGCTTTGGCTCCCTTGTCCCGCCGCGACTTATTTCGCTAAAACTCAAAGAACGTCTGCGAACGCCCCCTGATGGAGACTTTCGATGTCTTGTGGGGGATTCCGATGTTTTTTAATCCCTCCCTTGGGGAAAGCAAAAAAATAAAATAAATGACCTTAATAATAAACTGCAGTCGAGGAGTAAGACTTAACCCGCAAGTACAAAGGATCTTCGGTATCATCGCAAAACCCGCGGGAGCAGAAGATTATGATTTTCTAGAAAAGTATCCAAGTATTTTTATGTTTGCTTTGAATATGCGGATTTATTTGTTGCTTTAAGACAAATGCAGTTGTTTTAGACAACCTAAAACAGATGAATAAAATCTGGTTTTGATCATTTGGATATTTTTCCATTGTTATAGAATGCAATCAATGAGATGCTGATTCATATTCCTTATAAGTCAAACCGTTTAATTTTTATGAAAAAATACAGTTAACCAGACGAAATTAAGACTTGCTAATCCGAAATATCGTTGAAAAAATTATTTTTAATAAACCGGAGAATGAAAATCAGCAAAATCGCTGAGTGTAGTTGGAGTATATCTTTTTAATTGGTTAAATCGGATCATGGCTCATTATTGCGATTACATTGTGCACTGTGTTGAGATGAATATTATTTCCAGGGCTTAGCCTTTTGTGTATTCATAATGCCAGAATGTCTTCCAGAGTAGTAAGATTGTATGAAGAAGCAGGGATTCGAAAACTTTATAAGATATATAGTTATTTAAAGGAAAAATTCAGTTGCAGAAATCATAAATAAATTATAAACTTGTGAATATAAGTACTATCTTTCTCTAATTTATTTAACTAGACCGCAAGTGCCTTCTGTAGACTTCTTATATATATTTGAAATTTTTATAGATCAAATTATGGGAATTGTGAACGAAATATTTCTCGGCACCTAGTAGAAAAAATATATGGTTCTAGAACCTTTTTAATTTGTATACAAAAAATACATATTATCGAAGAGAGCATAATGTAGATAAATTTGTAATACAAAAAAATCTGCATCTTATTGAAAAATTAGTACGTCTAATTAAATTTTGAAAAATCTCGTCTATTTAATTTTAGGTCAATTGTTTAATTAGTTTAATTGTTTATGTGATATATTAAGTTTTTTGGAAACATTGAAATCTGTTTCTATTATTCCGGCTTGGAGATTATATTTGCAATTGAAAATTACAGTTTGACAATCTGTTCCAAATAGTCGTTGATATTTATTCCAAGGGTAGCTTATTAAATGCTTTCTTCATCTGAACTGCATCGGGAAAACGCAGTAGATATGAAGCATCATTAGATGGAAAAGCATTGTCTTTTAAATTATATTAAAATAATACATAAGAAGAGAAATGTGATCATTCCATATTGAAACAATTAATTTCATGATAAAATGATTATCTCTTTGATGAATAATAAGAAAGAAGAACAAATAGATATACTTGTAATGTGAAATAATTTTGTTTTGGAAACGGCTATTTTATTCATAAGATGCAGAAATATTTGAATCAATAATGTACCTAAATGTATGTTGACCACAAGTACATGTAGTGTTTCCATAATTTATATTTTGTGTACGAGAATGGAAATATTTATGCCTTTGATACGAGCAACCAAACTAGCATAAAATGAAAAACTTTGAAATAAAATATATTTAATTTATATTTATATATCATCTATATAATCGCTATATAATTTAGCTATGAACCTTCTGAGTAACACTTCTCAATAAATTGTTTATATTTTCTTTCATTTGATCGACGAACAATAATATAATTTAAGCGAAATGTATTAGTGGGAGGGAAATTTAAGCGAAATGTATTAGTGGGAGGAAAATTGTATCTTGTTTTTTTGTATTTGATTGCATTAACACATAATATATATTAATATATTATCAATAGCACTTTTACATATGCATATATTATATTCAAATTTTGAATATATAATAATTTTACAATCTAATCCTACCTTAAACTGCTTTCAGATCAACTTGATTTCAGGTAACTCACTGGATGATTGAAGTCCTTTAAAAGTTCATAGTATTTCATTCTATAAAAAAATAAAAACCAATTTTTTATTTGAAATTTAATGCATTGCTGTATAATTTGTGATACTACTCAAATTATAATTATGTATTTTGAACACAAAATTTAGCTTGGAAAATTTATTTTTATTTTTATAAACCATGTAATGAGAACAAGACTTATAGTTGGAAAGTGTGTTATAGCCTAAATATAACAATAATAAGTCATTGTTGTCTACAAGATTAATTAGAAGCCATAATTTTGCTTCATATCTTTAATGAAAACTCAATATACAAAATATGCTGTATTTTGTCACAGATAAGTGACAATATTATATAGAACATAGTTGTAAGGTAGGTTAGGTACCATCAGGATTAAAATCCATATGGAATTATATTGTCTGAATTCAGTTTGGGCAAGAATTTACAACTATATGCAATTAATGACAAAATAACCTATTGACGGATAAACTTTTTTAGTTATCTAATTACTTGCTAATTGTAACATGAATGTACCCAAAATAGCTAAGTGGTTCTAAAGAAACCAAATTGACTTATCATATTTTTTTACTTTAATTAGTAGAAGTAGCGATTGCTTATAGAATTGTAATACACCTACAAAATTTTGATTGTTGTGAAACCTGTATTTCTATAAGATTCATCTGAAAGCCACGTGATTGTGTTTCCCTTCCCCATCTGGAATTAAAATCAACGATAATCATTGTTTTATCCATCGATCTTGACACCTCGTATTATGATTTGCTCAGCGAAACTCTGTTGCCGTAGGAAGCGGAAAGCTTCCGTCAAGTCGAGGCATCTCGGCCTCTCGCAGCCCCGAGTCAGGCCGACACGACGCCCGTTTCCTGCTCTTATCTTCGGCGGAGCTGCCGACGCCGGAATCGCGCCGTTTGTCGCAAACTACGGACTTGACATGCGAACATTTCACTCAAAATCAGACCGAGACCGCGCCGGTATCATTATCGTGTTAGAGAGGCTTTAATTGGAAAGTGACGGGACGGAGGAAAAGGAATTGTTAACGGGGTAATGCAAAATCTAATGTATAAAGAACTCAAAATCGGGTCTCATAATCGTAAAACGTAATCAAAATATCAAAACGTAATTTCTATTGTAGCTTGAAAACATATTGCTATCTATATTTCCCAGTACCAAATCGATGTTACTACTGCTTGATATCAGGCTGTCCGAGACTAGTATCAAACCTAGAATTTCTGACTCAAATCCCATAGCTCTAACCACTAATCCACAAGAGTACCCTTATCGCAATAAAGTGAAAATGTTAGTCAATGAAAACAAAGAAATGTTAATATGGTTTTGCATTATTTTATGTATGTAAAAATTACTTTACAGGATTTCTGGTAGGGCATGGTATCTACCAATGAACCATGTACAATAGACACTTTGTATATTGTAAAGATTAGACTTTCATCCTTTCATGGAAATAATGTAAGTATTATATACTAGAAGAAAATCAATTCTAATGAGCTTAAGAATATTCAAAATAACTTTTTACACACTTTAATATATGCAACCATAATAAATTCCTTCTTTTTTTAAAGGATTGTTTACACTTGTATATATGACAGATAACATTTCAGTATAATAAAAAATACCCTGTCTACTTTCGTGACAATAAAATACGACATTATTTTTATCATAACCTCTTTGTTCACGTATCATTAATCCCATTGATAATAACTAATTGATATACATATACATACTTATAGATATTGATTTATATATTCATAACCTCCATTTTGCACGTTCCATTCGAGGACGCCAAATTTATACTTAAGGACGTTCTACTAGAAAATCCTATATTTATACTTAAACCGGAATGAATGGGAATAAACATTTTTAACGTAATTAATCAGAGGACATTGTTAAAAAAACGTAGGTTAAAAGTAGGTAATGTCCCCACAAAATAAATTACAATGGAAAACAATATAAAATTTATATTACTAGTATAAATATTGTTAACTTACGTGTCTTTATGAAAATTATTCGTGCACTCCATAATCTCGTTCTTAAATTGGCACTACAATATTTATAATCCGCATTATGCAAATAGAATAACACATAAGTAACACAAAATTATTTAATAAAGCACAATTAAATATCAGCCGATCATAAATGCACAAAAATCGCCATTAAAGTTGTTGCGTTTTGACAAGTACACTCAGTTGCAAGATTTGACATAATAACCAACTTCACTTCGCAAAAACTGCTTCACACTGATTAAGTCTTAAGTTTGCACCCTGTTTCTTGTTTGTTTTTATGTTGTCATCCTGATAATTGACATAATGTCCGACAATGGACAGGAGCGACAGGAGTGAACTAGTGTCGTTTTGATTTTTATTATATAAATTAAATATTTGTGTTTGAAGTGATATTTTCATCGGGTTTACGGTGAGTTTAATTATTTTTCACACATATTATAAATATATAAATGTACGTATATTTTTTATTTATATATTAAAGTCATCGGCACATAATCATAACACTTTCACAAAGCGGGCGACATTTTGAAAATAACGTAATGATATATAATATATATTTTTATATTATATATTATACGTATTTTGAATAATATATATGTTTAATATAACTTTTTGATTGAATAATTTTTCAATAAAAAATCCGTTATTATTTCTCATTAAATTTATTTCAAATTATCTTATATTATTTTACAATATTATATTACGAGTGTTTCTAAAAACAAAGAACAAGATCTTTATAAGATACTGATTTAATAACATTTTCACTCGTTTGTTCAATAATTTTTACATAAAAATGGCAAAATAATAATATGCATTGCATGATAATACTTTTTTCTGCATCGGTTCAAAAAGGTTAAGAAACAGTTTGAATTATGAATGGCACATAATTTTTAAAATTAGTAGTTGCAGAAATAATTATACAGATACTGGAAATTATATAATTAAATATATAATCCTTTGAATGTTGAGTTAAAAATTCAATTCTTATGTAACTACAATTTTATCTTACAAATATTTTTTAAAAGAATTTGTTACATTGTTTACTACATATTTATATCCATTTAAAACTCTGAAATCTGACTAAGGGAACTATTTATAAATTTATTCTTATATGAGACTGTTATTTAAATTTTTGAATAGATACACATATATTAGTTTGACTATTACAGTACATATGGCAAAAAGACCTTTTATGATATTTATTAATCTATTGGTTTGTGAAAATTATAAATAAAATACTATAAGGTAAATTCTAAGTGTTTACAAATATTCTATATTATATAATCTATGGAATGATTCAGAAGCACTATTTGATATTTTTGCTATGACAAAAAGGTCTTATCATTTAATGAAGTTGAAGTAGACCAGCAAAGTCCTAATATTACATTTTGTACAAAAGTGACTGGAATGTTTATTAATGCCATTTATATATTACAAATCATTTTTCTAACTCGTCTTTGGTTAATTGCAAATACGCCATTTAGGCAATGCCCAGCACGGTTTTGTTTCAGAATTTATTATAGTACAACTAGTCTTATCTTAAATATATTATTTACAAATTTGTTCAATGTTTTAACAATTAAGACATAATAAAAATATCGTTAACATGTTTTGTACAAGATCAATGTTATTGAGTATGATAACTATAACTATAAATCAAAAATTTATTACGAACATAATAATTAAACTAACTTCAATCACATATCGCGGAACACTAGACACATTTCTTAAACTATTAATAATCGATTTAACATAATTATATTTGCGATGACTTCTGAAGTTTAAATCATATTATAACACACTTATAAATTCGCGTTTTTAATCTCAAAAAAGAGAATTATCAATTAGTTATTCATAAGGAGGCAGTCCAAGTGGAGCACCACCTTCATAAAGCGACATCTTTAATCTTTTACACTTTGCACGTCTGTTTTTGAACCAAAATTGCACATTTTTCGACTCCAATCTGGGAAACTTTTGCCTGTACGGCATACGATTCAATTCTTCGGTATATTTGAGAATTAGATTGTGTGAAGGATGAGTATTTGCTGTGAACCAATGTTCCAAACGCGGAACTTCAGTAACAGGATCTATAAATGTTCTATTTCTCTTTCTCCTGTCTTCAGATAGCGCAGATAAATTCAAACCGCTGCTACTTGGAGGTGACGCACCGGGCTGATGACCAAGTCCAGGAATGTAGTGAGACATATACATAATGCTGTGACTGAACATGGAATTAGGCACCAAGGGAAAAGCTAAATCTCTCCCAGTTACACCATCTACAGGACTCGGACTTCTGAACTCCTGGTGACCTGTAGAATCCAGCCTAGGAGGAGACGAAACAACTTCCATATCTATTTCAGAATCTTCTTGATCACTGGGCGAATGCTTTGTGTTATTGTTATTGGATGTGTCTTGTGGACTGTCCATATCTGGATCAAGTTCTTCTTTAATCTCAGCCTTCCGTGTGGTAAGTGATAAAGGAGCGTCTGGTGTGACAGGCCTTCTCTCTCCGTTTTGTCCATCTTCAGAACCGTCGTTAGATAGGTTATCATCGCTCATCGCAGATGGTGGTCTGCGACTTGTAGAATTGTTGGAAGAAGGACTTTTAAGATACGGGGAATGATTATCTCCAAAACCGTTTAATGTCCCTAAATGGCACCCCAAAGCAGCAGCAGCTGATCCCCGTAGTTCCGCTCGTTTCTGGGCAGCCCTTGCATTTTTAAACCAGTACACCACATTATTGACATCTAATGGTTTCCGACCTCGCCTCGATTCAAGCTCATTCAATTCCCTAACATAGTTCTGAATCTGCTGCCTGCTTGGATGTTGGTTTTCATTGAACCACCTTTGTAACTTCGGTAACTCAAGTTCAGGATCAAAACTTGTACGCATACGAGTTTTCTGACTGGGATATTGCGAATGCAAAGTTTGCAGTGCTGGATGCACAGTATGCTGATGCACAGGATGATGAGAATGAAGGGAATTGGGGATTTGTTGATGGTGATCAGGATCTATTCTGGGCGAAGGGCTGCCTCGTGGACGTTGGGAGTATGCGTGTGGGTGCGCATATGGCGGTGTCGAAGGGCTCAGTTGGGCGGCGAACCAGGCATCGAATTTTCGAAGTAACTCGGGTGGTGGTTCCGGTACTGGTACATGAGGGGCGCCGGCAGAATTTCCGCGGCAGAGCTGAGAAAGTGTTATCTGAAACAAAATAAAAAGAAAAATATAGACTTCGAACAATAAAATAATTATTTCAATGAATATTCAATATGTATAATTAACTATTCAATATATAATAATTTTGAAATCCGTGCATATTTCATAATACACGGATATTTTTTGATACTACTTTATTAAACAAAAAAACTGTCATAAATTTTTCATTTTTATAAATTTTTAAGTATTTTTCAAATAATTCTAAAATGATTGAAACAACCACCACAAATTACGATGAAGTTTGCGAAGAAGAGGAAATATCAACAGTATCATCATCAATGGAATCAGTCGATTACATGTCTCAACTTTCTAATAATTTAGTAGACTACTACATTATTCCCGATCTCCTCGAAAAATCTTCTCATAAAGTAATGTTCATCCAGTATCCATCTCGGGCTCGAGTCCTAATAGGAAATCATCTTCTACCAGAAGAAGTCGTGGAGTGTCCAACTGTCACATGGGAAACCGAAGAAAACTGTTTGTATTCCATAATGATGATAGATCTAGATTCTCCAACTTCAGCAAACAATATTTTAAGCCCTTGGTTACATTGGCTTATCATAAATGTTCCAGGATCCAATTTGGATTTAAGACAAGCAGATTTGGTGGCGCAATACGTTGGTGTTTCGCCTCCCATAGACAGTGGGATTCATAGATATGTCTTTTTAGCATTTGTTCAAGTGGAACGTATAACTTTAAATAAATTTGAGAGAGATGAAATAATAAAAGGGCCGAATATGAGGTCACGATTTTCTGTAACAAATTTTGTAAAGGATAGAAAATTGATAGAAAGACCAGCCGCTTGCAATTTCTTTTTATCGCAATGGACAGAGTTCTTGCCAGATTTTAATGAAAAACTCACACAGTATTATCCGGAAACTAATACAATAATACAAAATATAACCCAAGATCAAACTGAGAGAGATATTGGAAACAAAACATGAATCGCTGATGCATTTTTTTTAATTTTGGACACACAAATTGTAACGTTTGTATTATGTAACAAATATAATATTTTTTTGTTTTGTTCTTATGGTACTTAAGTGTTTTATTATAAATCATTCTCTTGTCTAGTTTGTAATAATATTATAATCAGAATCAGTTGAGAATTACCCTTCCAGAATAACCGCAACTCATCCGCAAGTATTACTTCCGCAGTTTCATCCATAATCTTAACAGTTCAAGAATGATTATATTCAGGTCTTTGTCTCCGAGAGTTTCGAAGCACGATAAAAGCTCTCTTCTTAAGCTCACATACACACATACTAGTAGGTACACACTGAAACAGGGCTTCTTAATTCATAGAAAAGGAAGCCATTTATATTATTGATGAATTACTCTTCCTTATTGATGAATAAATGAATAAATACAATACATCTATCGTTTTTATCGACGGACAACAACATCAATTTTTAGTTTTAATTTTTTAGTGGTTATAAAATCAATAATCGCATTCTCAAAATGATCAAGGTTTCTTTATATAATTGCTGCTTTCATCGCAAACTCTTTCCTTACATAATTTCTTCTAAATTAAATCGCGCATTAAATTCCACTATTTAATCGTTCGCATATTTTTTATGGAAGTTAAAATTTTAATGACTGATATTTTAATTTTTATGATGATAGACTTCGTTCATCAAGAAGTGAATAATAGATATCTCAAAATGTAAACTATTAGGTATCTAATATTTCACCACAACCAACTATAATTTCTATTTGAGCTGAATTTGAGAACCCTACTCGGCACGAAAGAGAACAGACCGACCTCCTGCTCCCATACATCGGCGGAGGCGTAAAAGTTTTTGCATGCGCTCTCGCTAATCAGTCTGCTGCGGATTTTGCGTTAACTGTTTTTCTGTCGGTTAATGTACTTGTAGAACATCGCCCGAGATCGAGGAGGTTAGTGTCTTTAATAAGATTACCGGGCATTATTTCGTCGGTATTAATAAGATCAAAAGCGATGGGAAAACGAAGCAGGAGCTAAGGGTGGAAATGAGGGCAGAAAGACACGTGGTGGCGGTTTACAGACGGCGGCAGCGTCTTGGGATACTTCTTTGGTGGAAGTCGATATGGAAATAATTCATAACTACCTTATTCCTAAGAAAATTGTCTCATTGCATGGTATATATAGGATTCAATTTAATAGTACTATATGTTTGTAGTGACTTCCTAATAATGTGGATATTATCTTTAGAAGGCAACCCAACAGATGATGTTATCTATATCTGATGTATTTTTATTATACTAAAATATCTTTCATAATGCTGACGTATGATTTATATTTTGATGGACCAATGCAGGAGAAGTGCTCATTTCACTTGGAAACTTATACAGAACTTAACTTGTATTTGAGGTAAATATATATTGTTGTGCTCGGTGATTATCTATTATTACAACTAGTGAATTCAAATTATAAATTTAATTCAAATTTTCAAAGATATCTATCCACGGATTTTTTTAATAAAGTTTTGCCGTTTTTATTTTCATATAAAATATCCAAAAGTATAAAGCCACTTGAAACAAAAATTAATCTTGTAAATATCTTAGTAGTATCTTTACAAAATGAGCAACCGCATTCCTAAGATTATCAAGGTAGTATTATTTAATTTCTGCTTTCCTAGCAAACTCATTCCTTAAATAATTTCTTCTAATTTAAATCTCGCATTAAATTCCGCATTTAATCTTTCGCATATTTCCTGATGAAAGTGAAAATTTTAATAACTGATATTTTTATTTCAATTGTAGAAAGGTATATTCATGAATAGATTAAAATCTATACAAAGTGACAGAGAATACTTATTAAATAATTTTTATTCCACTGTCAGAAAGAAAATCTTAAAAACTTATGCAGATTAAGCTTCCGCAATTATTTAATGAGCTAAGCGGAGTAAATATTTGTTCTGGTATTACTTTTTTTATTTTTTCGCTAATTACAAAATCTAATCAACGTGATTTCTGACAACCAAAGTCATCTGTGCAAATATTAACAAGATCTAATTTTATGACTTGCTATACATTAATCTCCGACTGACATTCAACATGAGCTAGTCTTATTTCAGATTTATAACGGAATTATAATGCGACAATATTAGGTAAATAGATTTATATACACATAGAAAAATACAAATAAATGTATATAAAACATGTATAACCACTACATCTTCTAATTGACCATTAAAGTCAGTTTAAGCTTATAAATCTAGCGAGCAGGAATTAAAGTTTGAATGAGCCGAGTTTACCCTTAGGAAAAACTTTTTTGCAAAAGTTACTTTATCTTCATTTGCGAACATGATCCGCGGCCAATTTTTTTTAATAATCGCCAGACTCGGCCTCACAATAAATATAATTTTCAACATTATGCAAAGATCTTGTTCAAGGTAAATAGAGCTAAATCTTGGATGATATACGTCCGTGAGGAAGAATTAGAGTAATCTCGTATTAGATTATTAAATTAAGAATAATATAATAAAAATTATAATTTAAGTTAAATGCGATTGTGTAAAAAATTTAACTCCCATTTCGAACTGTAGCTTGAAATATTAAGTATCACATAAGCTTCTAGTCAATTTAAATGTACCTGATATTAATTGAAACTCGAATATTAATAGTTGTGATCATATGAATTGAAATTGTATGAGAATACTATAGTTTGAGTGATATAAATCTAATTATCGTATATGGCTCGTAATTATATTGTGCAGAAATTAACCATTATTTGCATGAAGGGATGTAATAGTAGACGTAGACTCAGTAGAGTAGATAGATTAGTGTTGCTATCATATATCTCTAACAAAAATTAATTATTACTGGTCAATTTATTCTCCAATGAATTATTTTTTTAAAAAATATCACCATAACCCAAATACGCAGCAGTTGCCATAATCTCACGGCGACACCAAAAAATAAACTCCGAGACGGACTCAAAATCCGGTATACTCGTATAATAAATCTAAGATTCTATTCTTAAACAAGGCTTAAGAATTTAATCTCGGCGACTCTAAATTATGCCAGGAGATGTCCGTGTGATTTACTGAAGGATTAACATACTTAGATAAAGTCATATTAAGACGTGCCTCGTCTCCGCCGATCGCGCGACGCCGATCTTGGGCCAGAAACGGGAGAGAGGCGGGACGCTCAGGTGACAACGGTAGCCGGGCGAATTATTATTTATTACTTCGTATTTAACGAAGGTCTTGGTAATTAAAAAAAATCAAAATTATAAAACAGCTTACAATTTTCGATCCACTGACCGAGCCCTGACACACGCATAGAAAGAGAAACGAATTAATTATGATTACTTTATATTTAACAAAAACTTTTCATTTTTATATATCTTTACGTTTCAAAGGTTTCTGAATATTTTGGCATACCTTAGAAAAAAGTTCAAAATTTCAAAATATTCCTGTATAAAAAAATCTATTTTTTCAGAAAGGTCAATTTTTTCCAAAATTTTAAAATTCTCAAAAATCTATTTTTTTCAAAGTTCTGAAAAAAAAATTGAATCTTTTTTAAAAATTTTAATTTTCGGTACAAGAAGTTCCAGCAATTTGCCTTAAGGCACGATGCTATGCACTACTAGTTTTAATTTTATATGACATTATAATAATTTATATAAAAATAAAGATATTGACTTTAGATATTTACAATGAATTCAAATCAAGTACTCATAAAGGAACATTTTAGAAATATCACTTTTTTAAATCATATTTTTTACAATATCTCACGTTTATGCTATTACATGAGGACATTAATTTACAACATATGTTATAACCTTTCTTTTTCTATATTTTTTAGAAGTAATCGGTCAATCACCAAAACTTTGAAGTTATTGTCAATATGTAATAAAAATCATATTATCAACCATAAGTGGTTGAAATTAACAGCTTTTACAAAATCCTTATACATTTTGTGACAAAATATTTAACTGTACTTGACTAATTGTAAATTAGATATGAATCAAAAATAGTCAGAAGTAATCAACAGCGTTGAATTAGAGTTATAATCAAAGTAAATATAAAACATAAAATACGGTAGAACAATAAAATTATGTATAAATTAATTTACGGCCTCATTGTTTAATACTCGTGGCAAACTAGTGTGTAATTTGGAATTAGAGAACGGTTAATAAAATTATCTGCTTAACTACTGAATTGAGCAAAAAAATGGCAGAGGATAAAAAATGGCACATGATATGAAAGAGACGTAATACGTATTTTTTTATACACAGTTTTTTCTGTCTCAAAATATTTTATATTTTGTAATCGTAAATTTTTACTACTTTACTTATTTCATTTTGGATGCCCATATTTGTTAGTAGTCATTTTAGTACAAATTGTTTCATTGAAACGAAAACTGGTCAATAAGAAAGAAAAACAAAGAAGAAAGTCCCATAATTCAAAAATTATGCTTAAGTATTGCATGCATTTCGTATATGTATTGCATTTTGGTATATGCCATTTTTCCAATTTATCATTATTACCTCGTCCAAAGGGCACCCAGTAGACCTCAGCAATCCGTGGCTCTGCAACAACAGCAACCTTAAGAGTTTATCCCGGACTTCAGCCAAAGGACCAGCAATGCCTGTTTGCCCGTCCCCTGCTCCAGGAGCGCCGTTACCTGCTCCAGGAGGTCGAGGTGGCCTCAAAACTGTTATACGAAGTGTTGCCACAGCAGTCAATTCGCCTAAGACTTCGCCGACTGTGCAAAGGGAACTGTCGCTGATTAAATCCAGGGATAAAGGTTTCCAGTTTTTGATCACCACAGAACCTGGAAGAAAATCGATAATTAGAGTCGAAATAAAAACATGAAATAATAGTTCAAGTAATCATTTTATTACCTTTTGCCATTGCAAGTGCCTCCGCAGGGTACCCTAGCCTTTGCAGAGCCGCAGCTACAACATCGTGAAAAGCAGTTGATGTAGGAATGATGACGTAGCTATCTGTTTCTATAAGAGCCCTACGACGCCACTGTGTCGCTCGGGGGGCGCAAGCGTCCTGCAGAGCTGGAGCAGACTCAACCACACAATGCAGGGGCAAAGATTTACCTGGGGAAGAAAGAAATAAATATATAGAAATAAATTGTAAATTAATTAAATTAAGAATAAATGTAAATATTGCATAAATATGTAAGCTTGAAATTTTCATATGCATTTTAAGGGCATGTGTAGCAGAACTTAATGTAAAATTGTTACCAGAAAGTAGTTTTTGGTTCGGAATGATTGTTTTAAATTGAGGAGCAATAAGTAGAGATTTGGTTATTATTAACTTGTTCACTGTAGAAATGATAAAATTGATATTCAAGCCAAAAATAAATTAACCAATAGGTGTGGAACTAGCTATGAAGTTAATAATATGTATGCAACTATATATGCAATTTTTATTTAAATCAATCAGTGAATATTTTTCAAGTATCAAGATGCAGATATGATATATATGCATAATTTACTATCTCTTGACAAGAAAGACTTACCTAAAGCCTGATACCCTTATTTTCCACTCTCCTATGAAAAAAACAGCGTTCTCCATTAGGAGTTTTAGTAGAGTAACGAGCACATTATATTATGCAAAGATTATTATATAAAGATTAAAAAATCTTTCCCCAGCCGGGGGTGGGATTGAGCATTCAGCTTTCTCAATGCTGCTATTAATTAGCAAACAAAAAAATCAACTACAAAGAACATTTAATGGTGATTATTATTTTTATTCTCAAGTACCCACTCTGAGAGCAAAAAGCTGTATAATCTTTCCTTTCATGTCGCGGGCTTCGCTTTCTGATATAAATATTCTAGCAAATCCTCCTAATAAAATATCACGTCTTACGATCATATTATGTATATTTTAAGAATACATTTTTTGTAAATTAATCACTCTGTGAATTTTTATTTTCAATAGATAATTAAGAGATTTAATATTGTTTTGTGATTCGGGAACCCGAAAAAGTTTATATAATCTCTTCATTGTGAGTCTCCTTTGATTATAAAGAATTCTTGGAAGAATTATTTTTAAAACTGCAGAAACTTTTACAATACGGAGTAAATGAATCGAAATATCCATGAAACAGAATTAAAAATACACGTGCAGAAAAATATAATTAAGATTGAATGCAAATCATATATTTGGAACTGTTCCTTCTATTTTATTTTGTTAATTAAACATGAAATAATGTGAATACTTCATTGGAAAATTATTGAATTTTTTTCTTGGAACATGATATTCTTGATTGAAACTTTAATTGCAAATAAAATTGATAAACGAATATATAAAAATTTAGACAATGCTACCAAGTTTAAGTATACGATTTTGGCACCTGATTTTTTTTTACATTTGGAGTTCGAAGCGTGTCTACGTCCTTACTGTTTCTATGAAAATATGCATGTGAACAAGACACATGAAAGGCATTATTTATATTCACCAAATAATTACTTTCCACTATTTCTAACATGCAGATAATTAATTTTCAGAAAATTCATTCCGCCGGTGCACCTACTGCGCATTAGATCCTGTAGCGTTTTCTTGGCACGCATCCCGTACAGAGTATACCTAACAAATCCTTTAACCAATTTTCTTGTGTATTAAACCTTTAAATAAGAACGGTAATTTTAATCACTACAATACATATACTAAGAGAAAATATTGCTCCACGTGAACATTTACACATTGTATCTGTGTGTTTCGTGTATAAGTAGTGCGAATTAAAACTTTAGACTAACAAGAATTAAGCCGCGTGTAAGACGCTTTACCATTCCTCACAGATTCCTCATACCATCGAAACGAATCCGAGCTCGCATCCGTTGTTTTCATCGAAAATCGTGATATTAAAAGAAAATAATTGAAATAATCGATATAAAGGGAATAGACTCAGAAATAAAACTCCTGGTGTCCTTTGGATGGCTTTACCAGAAAAGGAATTATGCAAAATTGAAACCAATAAGAAAAATGTAGGAGTTTGTTTTCAGATTATCCAATTGGCTGATTTTTTGCTTCTTGACGTTCCAAATCGAACTGAATCGTTTGACACCAAAATTGGAAAAATGATGTGTGTACGTGAGTCAAAATTTGATATTTTATCATAATAAAAAAAAAAAAGTTTGGCATAAAAAGCATAATTTTGAAAGTAGGTAAATCCTAATTTTAATTGATCAAGTCGATAATTCATACATATCGGGAATTATATGCAACTTGCCTTAAGCCACATATTTAAATTTCGACAAAAGTGATATAGTTTATTCAATAGGATGCCTGGTCATTATCCAAATGAACTTATGAGTGTTTCCATATTTAAAAACTTCTTTATGTATAAATTAGATCAGTTATCAGTTAGATCAATATTACATTAGAATCCAATTATTTCAAAGCATTCTGTTACTACTTTATTTTTCCCATTACATTTTTGAATTTTGTAATGATATGTGTATTGTTTACTATTTTTTTCAAATATTCGAAATTTGTTTCTATATACATTACAAAATAATATCTACATTTTATACAGCAACTATTTTCATATCACTAAACAATTTTTAGATACTTTTGCAACCACTTCTTATTAACTTGCTGATTAATTCAGTATTTGATATTCATATCTAATATATATTATTGTTGGTTACCGCATACTTTCTATTATATAATATATAATCTTTTTTGGATATTTTTTTTATTAATTTCACTATACTGGTTATTAGTGGCTTTCTTTTAAATAAATAAATAGGTTATATAAATTTAATTATAATTCTATTTAATTCAATTATAATGAAAATTTAATTAAAAAATCCCAAGTTTAAAATTTTTAAATTTATATTTATTAATTAGGCTGAAATGTATACTAGATATTTTTTTCAAGAAAATTATCCAATAATTAATAAAACAAACTGCATCTTTAGAAACGAATACAACTAGAATTTTATGCTGCATAACGTTGAATAGTAATTAAATATGAAAGTCTAAGCCAGCTTTTATAATTTTTACTATTTTTTTAATATGTGTAAATATTACTTTGACTATTACATCGAAAATGTAATAAACTTCATATTTCCCTCACCAAACCTTTGAGATTTAGTCCCGCTAAGACAAAATCCAAAGAAGCGAACCGCGAAGAACCGAAACAGGAAGAAGTCTATGGGAGAAATCCCTTCATCCGACTTGAGATCCGATTTCACCCTTAACCCGGAATGTATGGCAACTACCCCGAAAACCGCGAACAGGGGGTGGATTTACCATCAAATTTTAAGTGAGATTTATATTATCAAGAAGCATTCTGATTAGAATTTAGTATAATAGAATAAATCAAGTAGTAAAATAATTATTTAAACTTGGAAAATCTTAAAAGCAGTGCCTAAATATAGAAGATTAGATCATTATATGCTGATCGAAAACATATTTAATATTTTCGCATTTTTTTATTTATAGATAACTTATTAATGAAAAATATATTATTAAGAAGGAATTGAAAGCAAAGAGATGAAATTTGATCACACGCTTATTGGAAAATCCGAGATGCTCTCGAAAAAAAATAGATGGACTGAAAGGACTAGAACAAAAAAGAATGCACATGATAGTCAACTTGTACGAGAATAAAAAATACAGATTTAATATTTCTGTAGAATAAATTTTAAAATTTCCACCTGATTTTATTTCATTTCATCTCTACCCCTGTCTCCAAAAACATACATTATCCCCCGTGATAACGATTTGTGAGGTTCATCCCCCCGATGTCCCCAGTTTAAACCTCGGAACCGACAGAGAATCCCAGGGGTTAGGATAATGGCTGAATAAGTGAATATCTTAATGCGAGCGTTGAACGCGGCCAATTTGTAAAGTGGAGAATAAACGACAGTTTTATGTACATAACAAAACCGCCAAGTACATGAAAAATGATAAATGGACAGAGATTTGAAATCGGGTAATATAGGGATGACTTACTGTGATATTTGTATTTACTGTGACGTAGTGAATATATAGTCGTCTGCTATGAACAAGTTTTAATTTGTAGATATAAATTATGATTATCAAACTTCGCCTGCTTTAAAGCTTTTACTTTTACCCCAGCTTTTCCTTAGAAAATCTTTTGTTCTCGGCTTCACTAATCATCTACAGAATTCTTCTCAGGGTATCTTGTCATTGCTCTTCGTGTCTCGACTTACCTCAGGAGTTAAATCAAGCCGTAGCTACTTTCATAGGAGTTGGAAGGAAGCACTTCCGATCGAGATTGGTGCGACGTTCCGGAAAATCTCGCGAACAACCTACGACAGGTGTCAAAGCGATAGTCGCGCATCGGTTGATCGACGCCGCCGTGTCAACTCGGAGGAAAGGGAGTGGAAATATTTAGCTAAACTTCAAACTGGAATTATTAGGTCTCAGATAAGCTTGGTTTTTCGTCTTAGGATGGTCGAGTAGTAAAAACAACAAAGTCTACGAATGCAGGATATGTTTATATTCATATCGATCTATATATTTCCAGCAATTTGCTTTAAAGCACGATGCCACGCACAACTAGTTCCATGTTTACGATGCCCATATTCTAATTCTTTGTGAGTTTGAGATTACAAAACAATGTTTGTACCGTGTCCATCGAAGTGTGTCTATCCTATCCCGAAACACTTTGGTATTTAACTAACACCGTTTGGTAATTCGGCCGAAAGCAAGTCGTTTTAATCACCGTACACGCGGGAGTAGCCCCGGCGGCGGGTTAATACTTACTTTAGGCTACGTAGGTAGATATATATATATATATATATATATATATATATATATATCCACTTTTCCTATAAGTCATGTAGGTAAGCTTGGGGCTATAACCTATTGGTAACCCATCGCTTCCTTATTTTGCATACATCGAAGGCACCTTTGCTAAATCGGTTAAGCGACCCACGGGATTCGGCCAGCTTGAACTTCCGATGCTCTTGGACGAATATTTAGTCGCCTGATTTGCACATCACACCGAAGAGAATAATTTGTGGTCGAATACCTTAAGCCACAAACACTATTTATAATTAATTCAACCTTGCCATACTTGGTACTTGATAAACCAACAACTTACAGATATATTACG